CACAATAGGTTACCTGGCTAGGAAACGGTACTGCAAAGGCACCATTGCCTGGCCTTTTCACTTGCACATAATTGGCACAAAACCTACCGCAGATCAGGATTTGTCTGATATCCCTTGGCCACCCGATACATCAAATCTATGGTCATCTCGAAATCATTTGCGAATTCCTTGAGCTTCACTGTATCCGACAGTATCATGTGGATGTTGAGGACGAGGTCTTTAACCTGGAAAGACACTGAACTCATAAGAGACAAGAGAACTGATAAAAACCAGACAAACCTGCTCTGAAAAATTCGAATTCGCTCTTGTATGGGAATCGGTACTGGCGTCTGTCTCTGAGTAGATGAGCACCGTCTGTAATTAACAGGAATTAGAACCATAGCAACAAAGCCGTAAAATGACACCAAAGCCTCTAGAAGATCTGGACTTGAACAAAGTCTAGCAGAACTAACAGATAAAATCTTAGGATTTTCGGCAACTCCAGTGTTTTCGCGCGAGTCCAGTAGGAATAACGATCCTCAAGACATGTGATGTTTGAAGTTTAACGGAGATAAGCCCAGACGACAGGATAGATACGTGAGCGATACCACAAGCAAGCAGTTATGTTTGAGCCCGCATGATTTCTTTCAAAGTTTGCTCAAGATTAGCTAAACCAAACCTATCAAAAATCGCGAACGAGGCTGTTTAGTTAAAGCTTTCAAATAAAATTGAACCAAGAGCATGTCAGATTATTCAAATTTTTATCCTCGGTCCTGTGCGCTTTCCATACCTGTTCCAAAGAATTTTGAAAGCTGCCGATTTTCTACAATAAATCCTCATCAAATTTAACCACACAAAATGGTGTATTTTTCAAAACAATGATAAGAATGCGGGGAATAACCCAGAGTTTGCTAGAGACGAAAGTTTATCAAAGCAAAGTGGACAAATTCAATAAGAATGATTCCCACCTTCTATCCGGTCGTCATCGAATGACCTTACCATTTCTGTGAATCTCACAAGAACTTTATGAACAGCTGTTTTCGCAAAACCCAGAATAAACTTCAAGAAATCGCGAATTTATCAGATGGTGAAAATGACATAATGCAAATTCTGCAGTTATTTGGACTCTAGTCAAAAATTATAGTTTCAAACTTGCTCAGTAGAAACACGAACTTCAGCTTAGCCGCTTTCCGAATTAGGCGTTCACTCAAGGTTGAAGGCAAGAACAAGAAACTTTTGCAGAATAATAATTTCT